CATAGAACTTGATGATATATATATATATATATATATATATATATATATGTGCTATGTACAGGCCCTTCTTGTCAAATTCTTATAATTTCAGCACCACTTACTAAAAGATTTAGGTGAACTTATGAACAGACGGTGTAGATTAGTGAAAATCCATAATTAACTCAAACTTGTACATCTGAATCTTGTTTTTAAAAATTATCATCAAGTTCTATGTTGTATAGTTATTCATTCTGGAAAAACAATAAAAAAAAAAGGTTTTAATTAAAAATAATGACATTCATGATCTAGAAGAGTACACTTTTAAAAAATAAATAAAAAAACAAGCAGTGTATCTTTAACCTAAAACAGAAGACTGATTTAACTCAACCTATAGATACTTTTGAATATAAATCATACAGATAATTGCTTGTATGCAGTGTGTAATATGTTTCTATGGCAACCTGGAACATGAGAGTAGGTTTGGTTTCAGTTTTAAAATAGATAAATCTCAGGATAAACTTGGTGTATAACTTACCTGAGAAAGCGTTGCTATAGTACCGAGACAGTGTCTGCATGATGTCTTTGGAGTGTTGAGTCCATGGTGCAATCTTACGGTAAGTCTTCACCCTGTGGACCAGCTGAGAGCCACCATACTGCAGAGATAAAGTGTCTCCGTGGTCCTCATAGAGCTCCTCAAACAACCTGAACCACACAACCAAAAAAAATAAAGTTAAAAAAATAGGAACTCTGAAATAAATGGGGCTTTAGAGAAATCATCTTTGCATTGTGGTAATTAAAAATAAGATTTAAAAGAAAATCAAAGATATAACTGGCACATACAGTACATGATAAACTTGTATTAAACTACATGAGCTTTACCTCATACAGTCAGTATCAAACTGTAGCTTCGGCTTGTCAATCATTCCCAGAGCATAAAGCTGGTAGGCCAGCGCACATTTGCCCACCATGAACTGGGCTGTATTGGTCCGGTCCAAACAATCCACACAGTTGGTCCGCAACACACCAGTCTAGAACAACAATGACTGAATTAACCTACAAAATGTTTGTGTGCCCCCAAAGCACTAAACAGGAACTAAATCACTGTGCATTTACACTAAGTACAAATGTATTAAAACAGTTTTATTAATGTCTAGTTTAAATATTTCTAAAATATTATTGGCTTTCCATCTACAAAAACATGAAAGTCACCAGTCACCAACAGCAAATTTGTAGTGACAAAAGTAAAGATGTTCTTTAACTCTGTTTGAAATGTAAAGCAAATGCTGAAGCGTTGTTTTTAGAGCCCGGTCGATATATTGGTAGGGCCGATATGGGTGTTTGGGGACATATCAGTATCAGTGATAATTGGTCCATTATGCGCCAACGTAAGCACATCTAATTTTCACCCCTAAAATGCTGGGAACGAGCCGTGCCCTTACTTGCAAATGGCATAATTGTATAATGTATCCAACAGAGGGTGCATGCGAACTACTTTCAAGTCATGGTTGTTCACTTTAACTTTCACTTTCAGCACAGTCAAAGCAGAGAGCAATACTGTGTAGAACATTTTGCTGAACAGAGCATGGTAAGTCTATTTTAACTGATCTATAAAATAAAAATAAAATAAATCACAATAATAAATTCTCTTCAATCCTCCAACCTGCTTGTTATTAGCTATGTGCCTCTCAAGTAAGCAAGCTAATGTTCAGATAACCTAGCATATAAATATATTAGTAACATTATCTTTGTTGTCCTCAATGAAACACGTTGTTTATCAGAAATCTTTACTTCTCTGCAAAGAAAACATACTGCTGCAGTCACTACTAATTAGGCCTTCACCATATGTGACTGACTGTTGAAACAATGAACAGGGAAGGGTGTTCCTTTGTTTAATTTATATTTTTGTAAAACACTTAACTTTATGGTGAATAGAGGAGGACAGAAAATGTGGACATACGTTAGGTGGACTGTTTCAATGCTTCAAGTGCTAAAACAGGTCTTAAAGCAACTGTTTTAGTAAGATTCATAGGGGTGGACAAAGTTAAACATTTTACAGCCAATATATCAGTAATTGGCATTAGCCTGGCCCTCCCAACTTCAGTATTGGGGAAAGCAAAAATTTCCCTATCCGTCAGGTTTATTGGCTCAAAAAAGGATTGATGGCCAAATGCTTATCTTAAGTTTCAAATTAGTTGGCAATGCCTGAATGGTTTAACTTGAAACTAATCATAAAATAGATAATTGAAGTGTCTGTATATGTAACAATAACATCCAGAAGGTTTCCATAAAATCATCTCATTATGCACTAACTTTTATTACTTAGCTGAAACTTTGTAGCTATACAGACAGAGGGGGATTTTTTTTTAAACAAAAATCAGCAACACAATATCTTTGATGTATATTTGTGTATAAATATATATGTTTGTCTCTGTGCATCCCTGTAATGAACTTGCAACCTGTCCAAAGTGTATTCCACCCCTCGCACAATGACTGCTGGATATGTCCGCCAGTGACCCCCGTGACCCGAAAAGGAAGAAGCAGGTACAAAATAATGGATGGATGGTTGTTTGAAACATTTGGTGATTTGGCTGCTAAACAAGTTTATATCCTGATGCATGCTCATAGAAGCTCATGCATCCAGGTAGAAAAATCTTAAAAAGTTAAGTCAGGTCCTCTGGATGGGTTCAAATAATAATAATTTGTTGTCTTTTGGCTTCACCGTGTAAAATCAGCTCAAGTAATGTGCAATGTGACCTACTTGCAGACGTCCTTTAAATGTAACACATCCACCAACATCTCGCCACCTGTAAACATTACATTTAACTGAAAGTCAATAAACCACGACAGAAAAGTGCTAAGCTGCAAATATCAGTTATTCTTATTTGTAGGCATATTACTTAATTTATTTTCTTCTGCATTCAAAAAGAATGAATAAAAGCACAAATAGTGTGACAATTACTAATCCAAGGACAAACAAAATAAACACAAATAAATATATAAACTGAAAGTGGTAATGTATGACATCACTGCTTTATGTGCAAATTAATACAAAATTTAAAAAAAAGAGAATTTTGACTATCACTGTCCAAAAAAACATTATAAAAATTTAAATATAGTTTAAAAGGTTTTAAAAGCATGTTATCTTTATTTATCTCACACATACACACTTTTACCAAGTGTAAAGTAAAAAAATAAGTGCAACATGGCACAGGAATGACAAGGACCTGTCATGCTTTGGATATAAATAATTGTTTGTATGGTCATGAAAAAAGAAACAATTTGTTTAAACTTTAAAGGAACAATTTCAAAGTGTGTCAAAGTGTATGAATGATGATGGGTGAACTTAACTTTAAAATAAAGTCGCTAAAAATGGAATAAATAATGAAAACATCAAATTATGTAATTAAATCACCAAATTTTTTTTCTTCTTCAGTTTATCCATTGTTTAAAAATGCTAAACATTTCCAAATTGATCGTGTAGTCTTAACAGAGTCAAACATGTTTTTGTTTGTTGTTGTTATTTTTGTTTATCTGCTTGGGGTCTTTTAGTTACACTAAGCTAGCCCTCTGCTCATGGCAGCTTATTATTTTATGTTCAGAGTACTGACTGTAATAAAGTCCTTTAGTTAGCTTTTAGCTTTTCTTTTAATAATAATACGTGTGTAACAATAAGACGCGTTTTTAATCTTTAATCTAAAGTAAAAACAAGTGAGATTTGCTTTTACTCTCATTTCCACACAATAAGTCTCTCAGTAAATACAGATTTCCTCTAAATGTACATAAAAAAAAAGGTTTAAAAGACAGCAGATATTAAAAGGTGTCATGTAAAGTTTGGGGGAGTGGTGGCGCAGAGGTTAGAGAAGGTGGGCCTGTGATCGGAAGATCGCTGGTTCAAGCCCCGGTACCGACAACTTCAAAAATGTGCGTGGGGTAGGTGAAGCACCCACACCTGCCCCCACCCTCATTCGCCCCACTCTGGGCCCCTGAGCAAGGCCCTTAACCCCCATCTGCTCCCTAAACAGGTCTCTCTTGAAAATTAGTTCTCATGGCTCAATGAGACTACCTGTATAAATAAAGGCTAAATGAAAAAAAAATAAATAAATTGTATGAACTCTATGACCTCCTTAGAATAAAGATAATAAAGAACATAAATAAATCAGGTCTCTCTTGTAAATAAGTCCTCGAGGCTCAATGGGATTTACCTGTCTAAATAAAGGTTGAATGAAAAAGCAAATCCTCATTCAGTTAGTCAAATCCTCCACACGAGCCACTCCTCCATGTCCTGAAGGCCTCAGGTGCTGTAATATTACTCTAGTTGTTCTTCCACATTAAGCTGCTGAAGGTTGAGTCTGACTCTGCATGGAAGCAGTGGCTGCGTGCATGAATGTGCATAACAAAGTGTGTGAAAATAGCATTGTGTAATGCAAAAAAGAAAGGCTTATGAATATTGGCTGGGGCATGGCTGTTGGTTATGTAACAGAAAGGTAATAGAGGGTGAAAGTGATTAAAGTATGCAAACAATGGAGGAGTTGGACTCTAAGAGCACAGGCGGCAATCGACTTGGCTCATTAGCAAAATTTTATCTGCAATAAAGCTGCCATCAGGCTTAATTTCCATTAGGAATTGATGCCTGGAGTGTTTCAAAATCAGGCAGTGTTGATAGGGTAATTTGACATAAGCAGGAAAGGATTAGGTGAAAGAAAAGACAGTGATGTAGTTTAACACATTCTCTTTTACTGTATAACATTAATTTACTGCATATCTAAACAAATTATCACTAAGTTTTTCAGTTTTCTTCACAAGGAAACATATATTTAGTTTATTCATAAAAGTCTACTTAAAAATTGGCTGAACATTATGTTCACCTTTCTCCCTTTTTGATGAGGGAAGACAAACAGTAGCACAGGATTAAAAAAGGCTCACCTGTCGTCTGGTCTGAGGGTGTGACAGTAGAAGTCAGAGCGATTAATGAAGAAACCTGTTCGCTTCACCACATTCTCCGCGATCATGCTCAAGCGGTCCAAAACGTTGCATAATTTACTGAAAACAAAGAGGAGTTTGAAAGTTCTACCATCAAATATTTTCAATAGTGTGGCTGAACATGTATTGATGACATACACACTATTGAGATAAAATACGTTTTTCAAGCAGTAGTTTAACATAAAAGCACGTTTTGTCTTGTAACAAGTTCAGACATTTCAACACATTTTTACAACAGTTTACAGCAAATGTCAAAATCTTACATTAATGTCAGTGTTCATCAGTGAACCACTTGTGTGACTGCACCCATTTTCTTTATCAAAAAACAGTGTCAACACAAATAAATAACATCTGCTGTGATTTAAAAGGCGTAAAATAAAAATCTAAAAAAATCTAAGATATGATTGCAAACATCAAAAACTGCAGAAAAAACTCATTAAGCTCACACATGATCATGCAACTTTATCTCTAAAATAGTAGAAGCACCTCTGTTCCTGGCGTTTTATCTTTACACTAATAAGACAACCTCTGTTTTAACCTTGAATCAGATCTATTTCAGTACAAGAAAAAGATTTCAGGTGAGATGTTTGCTGTTAAAGCAGCTGGGTTTTAATGTGCTGAAGCCTGTCTCTGACAGGTACATAGTTCTGAAAGCCAATCCTGTTTCAACATAACATCTCTTGACAAGATTTCTTTGGAACTGAAGCAGGTATTGAATTTTTCCAAGGCTGGAAACATAGAAAACAAACAAAACATGGAAACAAACACATTTTAATGAGTACACATCAACACTGGCAAAACACCACTTAAAAGATGATTAAAAACTGGTATGTTAAGCCAGTGCCTCAGTGTCATCAGGCTTTTAGACCTAGTAGAAACTGCTGTGTTTTAGTATTTTACACTTATCTTTAAAGGTAAATTAGGGTCAAAACATTGACTCATTTGCTCAAACCTCTTGGTGTAGCGGGCCATGTCCCAGGCAATGTAGTCAATGCGGTGGTCTGGAGGGAGGAACTGATTGAGGTTTATCACAGCAGGGTAGAGCTCTTCACTCAGAATCTTCTCATGTTTCCTCTTTTCACGTTTCTGTACAACAACAAAGAGATGTGCAACAAGTCACATGAATAACTATCATCAATATGCTGAACAAAGATTATATCAAGGTGCTTTGATGTACTTCAAGATGCACGAATAGAATCAATGATGACAGGTACAGATATAGTGAAGGATGATTTTGGTCTTCTTCTTTTGGCTTTTCCCTCTTCAGGGGTCGCCAAAGCGAGTCATCTTCCTCCATCTCACTGCGTCCTCTGCATCCTCTGTCCTTTCCCAACTACCTCCATATCCTCTCTAACTGCATCCAAATATATCCTCTTTGGCCTTCCTCTAGTCATCTGCAAACATCATAGTCCACGGGGATTCTTGCCTGACCACATCTGTTAGTCGGTCCATCACCAGAGCAAACAACAAGGGGCTTAGAGACAATGCTTAATGCAGTCCCATCTCCACCTTGAAGCTATCTGTCACTCCTACACATGTCTCACCACTGTCCTGCTGTCCTCATACATGTCCTGTACCAGTCTAACATACCTCTCTGCAATTCCTGCAACTGCAGCTTATTTCCTCATGCAATACCACACCTCCTCCCTCAGCACCATGCCATATGCTTTTTCTAAACCTACAAAGACGCAATGAAATTCTTTCTGACCATCTCTATACTTCTCCATCAGCATCCTCAGAGCAAAGATGGCATCTGTGGTGCTCTTTCTCGGCATGAAACCATACTGCTGCTCACAAATGGTCACATCTTGTCTAAGTCTAACTTCCCCAACTCTCTCCCAGGTCTTCACTGTGTGACTCATCAACTTAATTCCCCTGTAGTTGCTACAACTCTGTAATCACCCACAGTCTTAAAAATGGACACCAGCACACTCTCCATTCCTCAGGCGTTTTCTCACCCTCAAATATGCCATTGAATATTTGAGTCAAAAACCTCTACTGGTATGTCATCAGGTCCTACTGCCTTCCCCTCTTCATTATTTTTAGAGCTTTCCAGACTTCACCCTCACTAATATTTCCCTTTTCCTGGTCCACAGTTTCTATGACCTCTTCTCTTCTTTCTCTTTCATTCTCTTCATTCATTATCTTCTCAGAGTACTTCATCCATCTTCCCTTCACACTTTCCTCACTTGTTAGAACATTACCATTCCTATCTTTAACAAGTCTAACCTGCTGCACGTCCTTTCTAGGACGATCCCTCAGTCTCGCCAATCTTTACAAGTCCTTCTCGCCCTCTTTAGTGTCCAGCCTCTCATACCACTCATCATATGCCTTCTGCTTTGCCTTTGCTACCTCTCTCTTTGCTCTACGTTGCATCTCCTTATCTCCAGTCCTCTCACCGTCATATTTCTTCTTGGCTAACCTCTTTCTTTGAATAGCTTTCTGCATTTCATTATTCCACCACCAGATTTCATTATCATCCATTATCTGTCCAGGTGATACGCCAAGTACCTTAATACCCATCTCTCTAATTATTGTTACTGTAGTAGTCCAGTTATCTGGAAGCTCTTTCTTACTACCCAGATCCTTTAACAGTTCCTCTCTGAACTCCTCAAAATATTCTTCCTTTCTCAGCTTCCACCATTTGTTCTTCTCTGATTTTACTCTTTTTCTCTTCTTCACAACAACAGTCATTCTACACACAACCATCCGATGCTGTATGGCCACATGCTCCCCTGCCACAACCTTACAGTCTCCAATGTTCCAACTTATCCAACACTTCCACATCCCCTCTGTTTCCTTCACCAACATGTCCATTTAGGTCGGCTTCGATCACCACTCTCTCCTCCCTAGGAATACCCTCTATCACTTCATCTAGATCCATACAAAAATTATCGTTCTCCTCATCCAACCTGTGGAGCAAAACCACTGAAAATATTTAGCATGTGGGGTGGCTGTGGCTGAGTGGTTATAGCAGTCATCCTCCAATGCAAGAGTTGGGGGTTCGATTCCACCAGCAGTCACATGCCCAAGTATCCCTGGGCAAGACATTGAACGCCTCATTACCTCTGATGTGTGTCCCATCGGTGTATGAATGTGATAAAGCACTGATTTTTCTTTGTATAGATCTATGTAGTGAACTAGGCCTGATGTCAAAGGATTTGACCTTAAGGACCATATGGGACAGAAACTGTCATTTCATTGATTTGAATCCAGAAATACAGGTTGACCCATCCTGAGACTTTCTTTCTTGAAAATTCAAGTGAAAGAACACTCTCTTTTCTATTATCATTACTGTTTTACAAATGTTTGATAATCAAAGTGTTTTAGTTCAAACCATTTTAGATGTTGCAGTGAACTAATCATTTTTAATTAACTGTGAAACAGTAACAATGATTTTTAATCCTCATGCAAAGTTAGAATTCATGTTAAGGTCTGTTACAGAGTAATTATGCATTTTCTGATTTTCTGTCTTTGAATGAGCAGGGTAAGTTGGTCCAAGGTTGGAGTCAAACGCAGACAAGTGTTGGAACGAGCTGTCTTGTTTTTACATCCTCTCAGACGTAAATAGAGAAGCTGGCACCTGCTGGCACCTGTTTTTCCGCCAACTCGTCCAAACATTTCTCTCTCTGTCTCTAAAAACATTTTCAATCTGTTCCATAACATTCTTGCTGTTTTTCTGACTCCTAGTGACCTCTTACGTCACAAAACACACCCCTGTCTGGTCGATATTGACCAATCAGAAACTCCCAAATGAACCGGAAATAGAGCCCTTTAAAATGTCGGTACTTCCTAGTTCAAGGCAGTGTCGAGAAGAGTCGAAGAGAACAGAGTCGCTTCAGGCTCCGGCTTCAGTCGTTGCAGCTCCGGTGCTGGGAAACAGGAAGATCCTGACATGACCACATAGCTCTTCCGAGTCTTATGGGATTATAACATCTTCCACCTCTGGGTGGAACTCTGACGGACTCCACTCATGTGAAGTCCACTCGTAAGGTGAATTTGTGTCGAATAAGTACCGTCACTACTTCGGACGATTCACAGCTGTTCCTACGGAGACGCTGAAAGGGTGCGTTGAATGGACTTTCGTACCAGTGGAGACATCTCCAGGTAAAAGAGTTGATTTATACCACCTAAGTGTACTGGGGGAAGAAGCTGAGAAAAACCCGGAGAGTGCCGTTCTGATGCTAACACAAACAAACCCCCTCACCCATCTTTTTCTCCCTCTAAACTTCATCTTTCCATCTTTAAAATTCTTCTATCAGGTAGAAATCATTCCAGATATTTTAGAAATGTCTGTGTAAAGTTCTCAACCACCGCCGTGTGGTCAATCAAAATTGTACAGCTTGCTAAAATTAGCCATGTTGTTATTTTCCATATTTTGCCAATTAATGTAAATGTGTGATGTGTTAAACTTTGATTCTGTTAATAAATGACCCACTGTCGTTGGTGAGTCAAAGATAATTAACGTCTCACGTTACATTTCTAAATTCAATGCACATTATATACGGTCCAGAAAAATGAAAGAATCCGTTTAATTTATGAATATATCTCATGCATATGTTCATCTACATCTAGAAGAGTGTTGTATGGCTGGGTAAATGAGGGCACAGATTGTAGTATAAAGCGCTTTGAGTATCTTGATAAGATAGAAAAGGGCTATATAAGTACAGTCCATTTACCATTAGACCTTCTACTTCTACCTTCAAACATATCACCTTATCTGACACTCTTTTCACCTGTACTACATTCTTTGCTAACTCCTCCTTCAGAACCACCCCTAATCCATTTCTCTTTATATCTACACCATGTTAAAACAGTTTAAACCATGCTTGTCAGCTCAAGTGCAGATGTTAAGAACTGCAAGAACAGAGAGGCTATGCATTGTAATACAAACAAGAGTCTTCATTTCCCAGTATTTCTTAAAGAACACCTCATAAAGTATCATTTCACTTAGACCTTCGCTATGGCATGTTGTCACACCATCTCCATTAAGTTCTCTGAGTACTCCTACACTGAGCCTTCATGATCCATCACCCTGGGTGATAATCAGCATAGATGCATCATTAAGCAGCTCACATTTGTGTAAATGTGTGCATCCAGAAGCAGCAAAAAAACATGGAAACCAGTCAAGTAAGCAGAGCATTTTCTATAACCAGCACTGCAGAACACAAACATACACATGTTACACAATCTAAGCAGAAATCACATATTTTGCATGAACAAACGCTCTCAAAAGCACAAATCTGCACAATCTACGGTCACAGATTATGAGCGAAAGCGATGAAGCAGGTGCACACGAATGCACAGGAGGAGGCTGAGTAAAAGGTTATTTTGTTACCTCATCATAATACAACACAGATTAATATGTTGCATTATTTAAGAATTGAAAATGTGTTTTCTCATGACAAGATGAAGTCCTTTCAAATTGACAGTATTTTATTATTTTTTAATCTACAACGAAGATGGTCATGCTGGTAACTGAATCAAGTTTAAAAGGAAGAATCAACCAATACCCGTCAGTCAACATGTTAAAGTTATGATTATAAAGATGATGATAATGATATTATTATTATTATTATTATGGTAAACTTGTTTTAGCTGGTGACAAACTAGGATTGGCTTAAAACGGTCTTTTATGAATTAAAAATTTTCTGTGATTCCATTAGTCTTACCCAGTTGGTAAGTTCTCCTACTAGACCAAACTTTAAAAGCCCCAAAGAGTCCACTCTGATTGATCTAATTCTGACCAATGTGCCACATCAGTTTCCCTTTCTTGGTGTTTTCTGCAATGACTTAAGTGACCACTGTGTTGTTGCTACTAATAGAAATGCTCGGTGCCCAAAATGAAACCATATATCGTTTATAGGGATGCACCGATCCAATCCCGATACCCAAGTCTGAATAGCGGCCGATACTGATCCAGTTCCGATATCATGATCATCAATGATTTTATATGAGGCTGTAATAATCTCCTCTCAAGTACAATTTGTACAAATATATGCATGCATGTCCAAAAAGGCAACTTGAGGGAAGTTTTATTAATGTTGAATAAGTTTTAAAGTTAGAATTAAATTCTGCTAACACAA